CTTTTCCTTTAAATCCGAACTTTATTTTTCGAAACCAAATATTTCTACCCTCTTTTCTGTAATGAGTTCTAGTCGTCTGTCACGTGCACTTCAGTTATATCGATTTGGAATACATTTCTATTTTGTACGCAACGTCATACGTTTAATTTGCAAATTATTAACTGATACCCCAAATCCTGTATTCAAGTTTGAGGAATTGAATCGGATCGGGCATCACAGTACTTATTGAGATTCTATGGTAGTCTGGTTAGATCTAAATTGCATTAGCGAATGATTAAATCGACTAGATCCTTGATCTTCCACAAAAGAGAAGCATAGTTCTCCGAATCGGGAACGTGTTCGCTGATAGAAATACCGATCGACCGCTTTCGAGCTGGCCCGGCAAGGCTGTTCTGCACGTGCAAACGTTCGCGTCGAATGAAATGGCAGTACGGCCACGGGGAACGGTGTCCACGGGGGATTAATTGTTTAAACAAGCACCGCGGAGGTGTCGTAAAGCCTCGGTTTGTTCCCTCGCCTCGAAGGCTGAGCAAGGACGGCTGCGAGTTGAACGGAGACAAAGAGAACCGCGTGTGTCGCTTGCTCGGATAGGCGTTCATAGGGAACCTCTTGACCTTTGCGGAAGGTGTCACGTAACCTCGTCGCGCATTCAAACGCAGCCATTCGAATGTGATTTCCATTTGGTGTCGCGCGAACGCGGGTCTCTTGCGTTACGTTGCAAAAACGGCCACGGTCTTTAGCCGAGATTTCCATTTCCTTTGTCCTCGCGTTTCCTATTTACATTTCCCCGTGGTTGCTACGCGCTTAAGCTCGGTAACCAACTTTGCCTGGCTGGGATCGAAGAAAGGGAAAAGTCGGAGGGAAAGTTGACCCGTTCCTCTCCTGGCCAAAGCATTTTACATTGTCTGATCTGTCACTGTCGTACATCTTCTTTAATCCTTTACTCTGCTGCGGCAGTTTCTCTTAAGTACTTCTTAGAATAGACGTTTTTCTTTTTTTCCCCCACTTGGTTTAAGCATGGTGTAAAATAATTTAAGAAAGGTTTCACTCGGCGGGGTTGTAATACTTAATAATATTACGCTAGACGGTAAATACTAATTGAATTATCTAGCTACACCGAATTACATTGGCTCGTTTACTCTAGGCCGTGTTTAACGAATCGATTCGTTAGCTATTGGAAGGTTGCTCGCGAAGGGCTTAAAACCAAACTGCCTTTTCACTATTCCTCAGGTTTCACACTTATTCGGAAACGTTCTCCTGTTCAATCTTGGTTTCATATGCTATTCGAATACGTCGATAAATTAAACAATCATATTTTAATAGTCATACGATCTAGACTTTTTCTTTCTCAAAACACTTCACAAAAGGTCTATCATATCTTCTATTTTCACATATAAAATGAACAGAACAGAACCATTTTAGTATTTAGTAAATTAAGTATAAGAAATTCAATTTTATTATCACCTGGTATTACACAATTATTCGTAAGTGTTTTCCTGTTCAATCTCGATTTCACATTAATTCAAATCGATCAATGAATTAAACAGTCACATTTTAATAGATACGATGTCGACTGATTAAAGAAACTTGGCAAGAAATCTATCAATGTATGCCTTCTACTTTCAAGTACTCTATTAAAGTGCTAAGATATTTTTAACGCGAACCAAGCAGTCATATAAAACCAGTGTCTAGCAAACTAGATGCGATAAATTCAGTTTTATCACCTGGTCAGAGCTAGACCTAAATTCCATGGACAGAGCGCGCGTGCAATGTAAATGTTGCATTGAATTTGCACCACGCCTTCGAATTCAGCGACGAACCGGCGAGTCAAAGTCGATCGGCGATATTAATTTCTTAGAATCAGTTCATATCTCATGCCAATGAAAACTGGTTGAAAAAAAGGAGCAGAGAAAAACGAGGCGTCGCCGCGGTGCACTGCTCGGTTCCTCGACGCAGCCGGTCGAACAAGTCGACGCAAAAAGAGATCCTCGATACTTTAACGCATTACTTTTATCTGAGCACTGAAATTTGTGCATCTTGTCTCAAAAACGAAACGAATTTGTTCGCCAGTGAGAATTTCGTTGTTCTAAAAAATCTTTGGAGATTTCAATGAAGGGAAACGGCGAATTTACGCCATTTTCTGTAGCCGGGGGGTTGGTCCAGAAGGGATGCTGCGCAGATGCACCCTCGCGTAATCTGCAGGGAGGAACTAGGGTGATTGGATCAGCATCCCACGATTCCCTCTCCTCTGGCAACTGCAAAATATGGTGTCATCGTCCATTGTATGAAACTCCAACACGTTTTGAATTATTATATTAAATCCCTCGATTGCTTTCCTCTGTCAGTTTCATACATTGTTTATTTGAAATATTTGCAATAAAAATGTGAAGGCATGAAAAATTCTGGAAAATGCGAACGGTGGGAATATTATACATTGTGCAAATTCGATCGGAGGGAAGTGTTGGGGAATTGATCGGGAGCCTGAAACAGAGATTCAGAGACGACGACTGCGCAGGATTTCTCTCTCGATGCGGCGCGGCATCGTCGGTTAGCCAACCACCCTGAAGGGTGGCAGAGGGTGCGGTCTCCGGCTAGCAATCAATACCGGCTAGCCTGGGTTTTCCCTCTTTCTCTCGACCATACGAAATCCTACAGACACCATGCCACACGAATTTTTCTTCTTGTCGTCACCAGAACCACCGTCACCCTTATCGGCTTTCGTCGTCGCGTCGTCGTTGCCGTGACCGTCTCCGCCCCTACTCGCCCTTCGCTCAATTCCCTTTCTGTCGTTCGCTGCTGTACAGTTTTGGTCATTTTTAAAGGGTTGAGATAATCAAACTGATGCGTCGTCTTTTTGATGGTATTTTTTGTTGATTTATTTGTTATTACTTTCAAAGAATAGTACGACTTATTACAGAAGTTTTTGACAGTAGATTCTTAGATAGAAGAAAGTTTAGCCCAGTTTGTGAAGAGATACGAAAATAAAATACGATGTAAAGTATAGGTTTCTCCGCTTAATTATTATTGGATTAGAATTTGGAAGGGTAGGAATATCAGGGTCAGAGGTCAAGGATGATGCAGTGTGCACGAAGAAATATAACGCATCTAAGTTAAACTTTAGAGATAAGACAAAGTTTGCAACTATGAGTTAAGCAGTGAAATCACAGAATTATACAGAAGATAGAAGAGTAGCTATATTTAACTTAAACAGTAAATAATGTCGACGTCCAACGTTTGGTGAATACTTTTCAAAGTTTTTAGGAGATTTGAATACTAATAAGTAAGGAACGTCTTACAAAACGTTGTCGTACGAAAGTTGACAGTCACGGTGGGAAGAGGCTTCTACCGAAATATCGTTTTAAAGAGGGCTCGGTGCCTGTTTCATTGTCTATAAATAAAGCAGACAGGAGACTATGGTTGCAGAAATAAGAGAAACGTTAACCGGGTGTTGTTTCTCCTCGAGGGCTCTTCCTGAAAGGCGAGCCGCTAATTGCATAAATGATTCTCACGGGAGGATCGTAATTATACCGCGGGCGGCATTCCTTGGTCACGGCTCCGGGAGTCAGCGAGCGTAAACGTAGATGCGTGAGAGTGCGTACACGCGAAAACTCGGCCGTGTGGTTACTTAAATCATTAATTAGTGCCGCACGCGCGCCGTTGAAAACTAGAAATTTCGCGTGGTTCTCCGGCACTAACATCGCCTCCCCTCCCAGATGATTAACCGTTGAATAATTACTCGATTACTCTACTCCTCTGAGAAATACGTGTAACGTTACTTCTCTTTTTCATCCTTTGATTCCTGTGTACACAATCATTGAATTTGTAGGTAAGTACTTGCTTATAAATAATTGACTTCCTTATAAGTGATAGAACAGTTAGATAAAATGATGAACGAATTAAGATTGTTAATGGTGTTTGTCTCGGTTTACTGCCCTTACTATTATTACAGTATCCAGTTTACAAAAATAAATATTATATGCAACTTGAAAGATACTGTGTGCCATTGTGTCATTTGCCAGAGGTGAAATATAATTAGTTAGTTTTTTAGATAAAGTCAAGCGTAACGCTTGTAATGAAGGCAACAGGAATGGCGTACGAATTTCTATCGAGTCATGTCGGGAATGCAACGCGATCGTCGACACCGTTTTCTCTCTCTCTCTCTCTCTATTTATGCCTCTTCTACACGAGCGAATCTATATTTTTCACCTCCCGCTAAATGCGTACGCTGTTTATTCCTTACGAGTAGGAGTTAATTTTATTGTAAACAGGCTGACAGTGAAATATGCGCGGCGTCGTCAAATAAAACGTGTGCCCGTGGCTCGCCACGAAATCCTGTTTCGCGCCAAACCGTGCAGTCCGTGAATATGAGTGATGAAAAAAATATCATCGAGGTAACCAGCCTCCGGGTATTTTCGCCTCGCAAGAATTCCGGTCTGCCAATTTTCGAAACGTTTCACGCGTCGCGAGAACGTTCCCCGTTCAACGAGACGATGACGTGGAAAACGTTACCGCTCCGCGCATAGACGATTCGCTCTACTTAACGTACTAATGCGCGACTTTTTTATTTTTACGCTTTTTATCGCAGCCACTTTTTATTCCGTATAGCTAATATTCGCAGTTGTCATCGTCGATTTGCATCGACGGCCGCGGCTTCTTTTTTTAACGCGCGTTCCCCTGGTGCTTCACATTCGGATGCGTGTCGCGTCGCAGCTGTACGCGCGATCCAACGCGATGCATCCTCTCCCGCCGATTAATTCCGTCGCTGCAACGCGCGTTCCATCGGGATTGCACAATCTGTTGGCGCCTATGGTCAACAGAATACCGGATCGTCCGTGGCTTGCGGCTTGCAGGCTACTGACCGACCAAAACTAACTTATAATTTCAATTAGTCTGTGATCGATTTATTTTTATATCGAAAATTTCATACTATATCGTCCAAGCGGAATTTCTGCTTGATCTCCGAAAGTGAGAGATTAACAATCACACTGTTATATTGTTTTATTCCGTTAAATGGACGTACTTGTAAGTACTTTCACGAATTACTTATATTTAAGCATTTGCTTAAATTCCTGTTTCCTGTATAAGACAGAGACTGGAAACATGGGATAGACAAGGTTAGCAAATGCTTAAGACGATCTTAGGAATAAGCAATGACTCCGAATACCGGCCATAAAATTATTCTAATGTCCTGCGCTCTTTAAGTGGATGAGGATAAGGTAGAAATACCCTGCTGGAAAAGCTTGATGCCTACTATACTGATACTCGATAAGATCGCTGAAGAACATGTAGGTGAATCGATAGAGGGCGGGCAGGTTTAAATGACCGCCGTGGATTTTCGTAGCCGTCGGCGGAGTTTTTATTTCGCGTTGCTGCGCGAGTAAGCAGAAGGGTTTCGATATGTCAGAGATTCGGCGAGAATGTAGGATCGCGTGTAATGTCAGCTACAAGTGACGCATCTGCGCTTCCCGCGGCGCGTTCTTCACGCGAAACGATGCCATCAGGATAAATTATGCCTCGAAAAGAGAACACGTAAGTGTCCATTAGCCAGCCTTTAACCTCGGTCGGTTTATCAGCCGAGATACTTTCTTTCTTCTTAAAATTAAAAGGAACGAGCATGATTGAAGCGAGGTAATTAATGAGTCTCGTGTTAACGTGGACGTATTCGCAGCAAAGCGAAAACATGGGAGCGAGACAGAAGAAAACGTATGAATGCATACTTCAAAACCCTGGCGGACCTTCTGCCACCACACCAGGAGGGTCGGAAACGGAACAAGGTCGACATTCTGATCCATGCATCAAAGTACATCAAAGACCTCCATAGTCGCACCGAGGACTTGTTCTCTGCTCACGCTTCGGATGCTCACAGTAAATACAAGAAGTCTGAGAAATCGGTTATAATCCTGCTGCCCTGAGTTCATTACCTGTACACATGTTCTTCGTTGCAGAAGAGGAATTGACTCGTTTGAAAAAACTCGTAACTCAGCTTTTCTCGCGGACACAGCTGTTATCCACCCTTTTAAGGGAGGCTGGTATTTCTGTACCGGCGGAGCCAGCGTTAGAAAAAATTTCTCCCTTGAAATGGTCGAATAAAATCAACGTGGAGGATGCTGAGAAATATTTCAGTAAAATTGATGAAAGTAAGGATATTGATAAAAAGAAGCATTCGTTAGTTCGTCAACTTCGAATATCTGTAACAGGAATGTTGGTTTCAGTAAAAAGTTCTGAAAATAAAAGGGATAAGTCGGCTGACCTTAAAGTGCCTTCTAAGAGGAAGTCGAGTACTTCTAATTCGTCTAGTAAAAAATCGATAGAGAGTAGCGATGTTTCTAAGGATATGAATAGTTCCTTGGAGAATCAGGAGAATCGGGTGAACTCTGCGAATAGCAATGATGAGAATGCAGAAACTACAGGCAATATATTGGATGCGGGATCGAAAGATCCACAAGCTTGCCAAACAAGTAAATGTCCTTTCGTATCTCAGATTCGACAGTCTTATTAAAAATATTTTAGAACACGTCTTTCTTCTTTTAATTAGGTTCTGATACAACAGTTAGTTGTCCGACGGTAAACGGGAAAGCAAATAATGGTAGGTACGAACAGTATATAGATTAAAGTTTTCTGCAGTGCAGTGACATTCATTGCAAAATCTTTCTTCAGCGTTACAGAAAGTAGAATCTCAAAAGAAAGTGAAAAGAAAAACAAAGAAGAAAGAGGAAAAGAAATCGCTAGCGCCGTGTATAAATAATTCCGTGACTAGTTTAACTCCTAATACTTTAATATTATCCGGTGGCAAGTTAATGCCGTTGGTCACTCCGATAACTTCGAACATAATTGTAAATACTCAGCAACAACCGGCGAATCCCATAATCCTCGGTAGCGCTCAGCAGAATCAGATGATCGTGATGCAGCCATTGACGAATCGCATGCAAAATCCCGTGGTATCTATTTGCAATCAGGCCGTGATTAACACCGTTCAGAAAGTGACGTTGAACACGGTGCCCAGTATCCGAGCAAACATGGTGGTGGACTCGCAAAGTTGGGCGTCGAATGTAAAGAACATAATCAATGCGACGAAAATCGGCGGCCACAAAGGCATACTACCGAAAGGCAAAGAAGTCACCAAGACAACGATGACGTACAAAGTTCCTATACCAGCGGTTCACAAGGAAAAGGCGGAAAAGTCCAAGGAACATGGAACGAAGAAGGACGCGGAAGTGAAATCCAGAATCAACAAAAGTCACGCGAAAAATTCTAGAAGTCAGCAATCTACGGAAACGGTGGAAGAGAAAAATGAAAAGGAAAAGAATACGAAAAATGCGGAAGAAACGGCTTGTACACAGAAATCTGGGTTGAAACGTTCTGCGAACACGGAAACTGGTTCTATCGACGAACCTGGTGATAAAAAACGGAAAACGAATGAGAAAGGAGATAGTACGGCGAAAGTCCCTGCGCCGAAATCAGATTTGGCTGTGACTTGTAAATCCATCGAGAATTTGAAACACGTTATAGAGAAGATAGGCGAGAATACGAATGGAGGGCAAGAGAAAGATCGTGCGTTGACTCGATTGGAGAAGAAAGAAAGTGAAGCGAATACCGAATGTTGCGTTTTATTAGGAAGTACTAATGGGGAAGAAGTTTCTGAATCGTCCAAGTCGATGGACGCTCTACCATCGGACAGCATTCAATGTGAAACTAATGGAGATCAAGGTGCATCGATTCCAGCCACTGCGCCATCGGCAACGTTCACGGACGACCATTTGAAATCAAATAACGATAACGTTTCAGTGTCTTCCGAAACAGACTTCAGTATACCTGTAGATACGCTAGAAAAATCCAGCAATAATGTTGATCAATCGAACACTAAATCACCATTAATGGAAGTTGAACATGTAGATGAAGAAGGTGCTAAAAAGATGAAAGAAGTATGTAATCTAGGCACGGAGTTCGATAATCTTCTCCGAGCAACAAAAGAATCGGAAGTCGTCGAAGGAACAACGAACTTAGAAAGCAATAAAATTATTCTGAATCTGGACACGAATACAACGACGACTTTGAAATCAGAAACAGGAGCCACGGTCCAGACCTCAGATACCGCGGCGCCTCCATCGGCACTTCTTTCGGTTAACGTCGTAGAAGATGAATCTAAGCTAACGAAACCGTCGAAGAACGAAGTATCGAAGACCTCGCTGTCGTATAATACTGAAAATTCTTTCGTACCTATTGGCAATAGAGCTGACGGGCTTCACTCCGATCTTTCAAACGACATATTCGCGTCTCTTCAGGTGCCTTCCAGTTCCCATAACCCAGAATCGATATCTCCAACAGCCGCATTCCTTATGGCCTTCCCTCTGGTGTCTTCGCTCAACGGCAAAACGGAAGTGTTAGAAGAAGAAATGAAAGAGGACTTCAAATATCATAGTCAAACACCGCCGATGCTTTTACAAATCGGAGCGATGGAACCCAACAGTTTCAAATTAAAAACGACGTCGCCCTCTCATTCGATTGCGGAGAAACGTTTAAAGGTAGCTTGCGAGGAGAAGAAGATCGCCAGTCCTCCCGTAAGTGATACGCTGGTCCCTGTACAATGTTCCACAACTACAAAAGCCCTACCGAAAATCATAAGCAATGAACCTCTCAGAGAACCCTTCAAGATCGTTCAAAACGTGTTGACATCGTCCTTAGAGAAGTCTGTACCCTCGAGTACATTTTCCCATACGACTTTGTACTGCGTTGCCAGCGCTTCGGGTACGAGTTCTGTCACAAGCGTTTCGCAAGCTGCGGAAAATTGTCAAAACCATCTGACGACTAATCTTAGAAACGCGATAACGAATACTGGTAATGAGAACGTCGCTGCTTCTCAAATGGTCGCCGCTACCATAGCGAATAAACCAGATCAAGCGAATTGTTCGGTTCAGACTTCGACTTGCGACACTAACGTCCGGTACAGCACCTCTCAGGATTTCTTATCGAGTTACACGACGATCGTCGAAAACAATTTAACTTCGTTGCAGCAGGATGCGTCCGGGTGTACTAATTCGACGATCCAAGAAACAAATCCTGTTGGATTGAATCAAACCGTCGTCCCCGACGTTTCCCAGGCATCACTGGTTCCTCACATGACTAACGTTAGTACAACCACAAACTCTTCGTCACTGCCAATACAGTCCTTGCAAATGGATTACGTTTCCCAAATGAAGGACAAAGAATCTCATAATTCTCGGGTCGCGTACGGTATTCACGCAATCAAGAATTCTTTAGCGGAGTCTAACATCGTTTCTACTAATCGCGTGAACTATACCGGACACATAGACAGAGCTCTTCCCACTTCGTCGCATAGTGTACGGCAAGAATACACGATGCAATCGAAGAACACGTCTCTACCGATCCTCTCTTCGCAGGCTATGCAGACTGTTTATGAATCGCAGTCGAAAGACAGCCACGTTTTGAACACCCAGCAGAATCATCAAAGTTACGCGGTGCACGAGAAGGATCACATAATTCAGAACAGCCACAGCGATTACACCGTGGAGCAGAATAAGAATATCCCTCGGAAGGATTCGTATTCAACGGGGAGCACTAACGTAACTACTACTAGAAACCAGAATTCGATATCGAACTCGGTGGATTTCCAACGCGGTTACTCGAAGATGAACAAGGAGGCTAGTACCTCGAGCAACGTCATCGTAAATCAGGATACAAAGTTGAACGATGTATTGAGATCAAAGCCTCAGGAGCCGCAGAATCATAGGAGGGATACGACGTACAATTCTACGAAGAAGATGGACATCGATCCGTTCGCCCAGACGTTCTCCTACGGTGTGAAGGAGTCGATGAGCGCACATAATTCTGAACAGTCTGTACTAAATCCGAGCACCAATAACATGTATCAAAGTAAAAGAGAAGAGACGCAGAATTATCCTACTTATTCCAATAAAGACGCGAAGAAGATTAACACTAGTTCCTCGAATAATATGAATAGTAAACCGTTGATACAAAACGCTCCGGTTACGCGTTACTCGCAACAGCCGACGTCTTTCGTGGCTACGTCTAATTACGAGCAGAGTACGATCACCGAGAATCACGCGAAATCGACGACTACCGTTGCTCATAATTCTTCCAACTTCAGTATTTTATCATGGACAACTTTCTCTCCGGTCGGGGGCGGTGGTAATAGTAATTTAGTGCACTTCGATCAAGGGTCTACGCAAACCGACAATACCGAGGCGAAAACCATCTGCGAGAATTACAGTTATATTCCCTTGCACAAGGAGAGTCAGAACTTTTCAAACGTTTTAACCAACGACGTTTACTCGGCGAATTCCACTATGTCTAATATGGACAAGACGAGAATGAAATCTGGTATGGAAGCGCAGAAACAGACATTCGTGGATCCCTCGAAATCTAGAAATATTCAAACCAATGTACCTCAAACTGGGAAACAAAATCGGATGCAGAGTCAGAATCAGACTTCCTCCAATAACAACGATTATAACAAATTCGGTACCGAGAACAAGAACAAGTCTAAATACGGGATGGAATCGGAATATATTCAAAACGAATATTCTGGGATGGAGCAGCAATCGCAGCACAAGAGTCATCAGTCCATGGCGACGAAGCAGGACAAGACAGTTTATCCGATGACAAGTTACGATACTCAAGTGAACTTCGATTTACCGGAAGTTAGCTCGCAGATGAAGTATTCGGTCGATACTTACGTGAGCTCGAACTTCAAGTATCCCGACAAGTCACAGCAGCAAAGTCAGAATAAGTATCAACCTTTGGTTCAAACGCAAATTCCTTCGCTCCAGCACGACAGCATTGGCTACAACGACGGTAAACTCGGCCAGCAACAGAGCGCGACGAAGACCAAAGGTAACCAGCAACAGCACACGATCAGGCCGACTGTTAACTGGATGATGACTCCGGAGATCAAACACAACTCCAACATCGCCGACATTATTTTGCCGCCGATCGGGAAGGAGCTGGAGTTCTGTCAGAACAATCTGTTTGGCCAGACACCGTCGTACAATCAGGGAACGCCGAATCAATTTTACAATAATTACGACGTGACTGCCCACGGTTTCCCGAATTTGCCCGTTCTGCAAAGCGAACCGAAGAGAACCACGGATGTATTTTATTCTGAAGAGCAACCATTCCCTTGGTCTCCCACGAAGACGAGCGTTCATGTTGATCAAACGCAGTCGGTCAAGGGTATAGATCAGCATATCGTTCCCTCGAGTCTTCCAACTCTGGTGGGTGACCTAGATTTGGGCACCAATTTACCCGAGAAACAAAATTTCTTGTTCGGCCAAGTACCTCCGAGAGTTCCTTCCGACCAGAGTAAAGATCCCAATAAGGATAAAGAAGGGAACGTAACGGGACGCGATTACCACAACGTTTTGAACAATCAGAGTGTGCAACATCCTGGAGCCGGATCCTCTTTTCTATCTGTGAGCCAGTTAGTGGAACACGAAAAGGCCGAGAAGTCTCATCAACAACATCATCAACAGCATAATCATCATCATCACCACCATCACCATGCCCATCAACATCAGCAGCAGCAGCAGCAGCAACAACAACAACAACAACAACAACAACAACAGCAACAACAGCAGCAGCAGCAGCAGCAGCAGCAACAGCAGCAGCAGCAGCAGCAGCAGCAGCAGCAGCAGCAACAGCAACAGCAGCAGCAACAAACTAGGAAACATCAAAGAAAGAGTAATGCTAATCCTAGAGGAAATAGCAAGAGACAGATAGATATTAGAAAACAGACTTCGGCTAACGATCAGTTACATCAGAGACACGAGGAGCAGAAGTCGTCCGGTCACAGTTACTCCGAGCAAAATTATCAGCAGCAACAGCAGCAACAACAGAAATATCAGCAGAACAATGTCCACTGGAGAAGTAGGAATTGTAAGAGCAATTACACCGCCGAAGCGCTGATAGGTACCAATAACAGTGTGCAAGATACTAATCAAGATAAACATGCATCGATCAAATTCTCTGCGAATTATTCGCAGAATAAATTCCAAACTAGCCTTCCCACCGCGGACGCGGTGATGCCTTTGAATTACTTTTCAAACGCCGACGACGGCAGTGGTTATGGGCAGATGGTGAACCAGAATTTCAACTCGTACACGTATCCATCAAATACTAACATTTATCCGACCTCGAACTTCATCACTAGCATATCGAACACACCTACCAGTTACATGATGCCGTTGCACGACAACACCGACTACATAGAAACCAATACGTTCCTTTTGCCGAACGTCGCAATCTCGTCGACGACCACCTCGTCGTCTACATCTACCGCGACGACTTCTTCCTCTAATATAAATACGAATGCAAAAAATCATCAACACTATGGGAAACACCAGAACTGCGACAAGAGAACGTATCCTACAAACGCGAAGAAAGGGAAGAGAAAGGGTCTCGATGGAACCATGCAGAACTTAGAATTCCCTTTGTCCGGTATTAATTCGCCTTTGGAGGATTATCATCACTCCGCAACGTTCCTACCGCCTCCACCACCACCACCACCTCCGCATGCGAGTTCTATCTATCAGAATCATTCGCAGTCGAACGTTTATAGCAAAACTGTGAACGGTTTACCCGTGGCCGCGCCTCAGGGTATGCCCACCGTGGCGACTGCTGGCTTCCCGATGAATCCGAACGTTGCGAGGGGAGGAATTGTAGCGAGCAACCCCATGACCATGAGCCATCATCCCTCGGGAACTAGCTTGACTAATTTTAATCTGAGCACCATCTTCCCCGAGATGAATGATAAAGTATGTGAATTGTTTGCTTATTCTAAGTCTTTGTACTCGGGATAACTGTCCGATTTGTGGTACAAAGAATTAGAATTAATGTTCGATCGACTGTATCGATGAGGTAACTTTATTATTTATTATTTATTTATTTATTAGATCACAGGATATAAACCACAGAACGGTATACCGTCGGGTTTATCGCAGCCACCAAATCAGTCGACAGCATATGCACAGAGAACCAACTACCCAACTAATCCGCTCTGTCATTTGCCACAGGTTGGTTGAACAGCTGAAGATATTATGAGCATTGTCTTTGAATCAGTATTAATGAAAATCGTTCTATTCAGGTATCCGAAGGAAGTCAATTTGGTAATAGCGTTCCTCCTCTTCCCCCTCCGCCTCCTCCGGGAGTGATCCATTACAAAAATGTATGATAATGTAAGTATGATCGAGAACATCGGCCAATTAATGGTTGTACATATGTAAATACATAATCGATCAATTAATTAAATTAAAAATGATTGACGTAGACTTGTGATTTACATTAATTAAATTAAAAATGATTGACATATACTTTCGATTTTGTATCGCAACGTTAGGTATCGTTTATTATGTACAACAGAAAAAATTGTTTTATTCTTTATTGTATGTACATTCGTTTTACAGTTCCAGAATTACATCTATTTTGTTCATGAAAGTTAAAAGTTTATTTGTCTTGTACAGAAATCGATACTCGAATCATTGGCAAATATATATTATTTATTATTACGACTTTACGAGATTTATCTTTCGCGTAGGAAACAAATAATATCACAGCTAATATTTCCCACCAAACTTCCTCACCGATTCATCTGATATCTTTGGTAGGGGGTCTCAACGGAATCATTCCGAAAGTAAATTTCTCCGCTAAGAACATATTCTTATCGTCATTAGTCAATTGATCTTCCTGCGAGTAAACGCTATCGTCAATAATCGTAGCCGTTATACCGTACTGCGAATTACCGAATGGTCCATTAGACGCGGTCAAAGTATTGAAAGATTGATTCTGTGCGAAATTACCGAACGGCGACGTTAATTGTTGCTGTTGATTAACAGAATTCGTAGTCGGGCTCATACCCGTGGATCCAAAAGGTGAACTTTTCACTTCACCAAACGTGGGCGAAGCGAAAGGGGTATTCGGAGCGGTATTCGGAGCACCGAAGGGTGTGTTCGAGGAAGTAACAACGGTACCAAACGTTTCGACTGTGGTTGGCGCGATCGTACCGAACGCTGGCTTCGAAAATACGGTCGTGCTCGCGGTTTCGAATTGTGAGGCAGCGGTAACGAAGGGACCGGTGGTCGTAGAAGTTACGCCGAACGGCGGAGCACTGGAAACGGGCATGGCAGTCTGAGCACCTTGTGTAGAACCGAATAAGTTCACGGCAGGCGTGGGAGCGGTAACACCGAAAGCGTTCGTAGGCTGCGTGGTGCTGGACGCGCCGAACATACCAGTAGAGGCTCCAAACGCCGGCTTTTCGCCGAATATCGAATTGGAAGCATTTCCAAACGGTGCAGCACCAAAGACTGATGTCCCACCAAAGGCAGGAGTTTCCGATTGCGAATTGAACATCCCGGAACTGAAGTTTCCCGTGGGCGAAGGTCCACCAAAGATGGAATTGGTGGTCTGTGGGCCACCGAACAGATTAGCGGTGGACGTTTTAGCTCCGCCGAATATGGAAGAAGCGTTGGCAGATTGGGAAGTGCCGCTGAAGAGGGGGGAGGAAGATGTTGTTCCGCTGTTAAATACCGACGTGGTCGTCTGGGATGTCTGGGGCCTCGCGAAAACATTGTTCGATTGATTCGCCTGACTGCCGAACATGCTTGACTGGCCGAAAACAGGCTGAGAGGTTCCACCGCCGAAGATCGAGCCACCTGATCCGAAGGTCTGCGCGCTTTGGCCTGTATTAAATGTAGAAGTATTTGAAGTCCCACCAAATACAGAACCAGAACCGCCGCCAAACGCTCCTAAATTATTGCCAAAACTTGGTGTACTACCAAACACGGGATTCGTAGTTGTAGCTGGTCTTCCAAAGATAGACGATGCGTTGGTAGAAGGAGTCATGCCTCCACTGAAAGAATGAAACACGTTCGAGGATGGGTTACTGCTCGGATTTCCAAGTTGGGGAGTTGCAAAGGCAAAGTTAGACGATTTCCCTGATGCATTCTCGTTTTTGTTCTTGTGACCTGTACCTAAAATCTCTTTCTGAAAATCGAAATAATTTTTAATCAGAGTTTCGTAAGGGTGAATAGAGACATTTTATATCGTTCTACATACAAGTTTGTTAAGCGTTTCACGGGTAGGGTTCTTTAAGGCCTCCCTTTTTGTTTTCATATCTCTACACATTTGTTGATAATGGAGTTTCTGAAAAAATAATGACATAAATATAGAGAAACAGTAGATAATAATTAATGAAAGGAAAGGTTTATACTGACTGCTTGGTCACTCATTCCATTTTTCTCAGCTTGATACATCTCCCATCGTACTTCTTCTGGAGAGACATCTTCCATGCCAGGAATACAGGGTTTTTCTTTGAGCGGTGCGAAGCATGATAACATCCACTGTCCTCCTCTTTCCGCGTTAAGCACTTCTTTTGCAACCAGTACACTAACCCCAAATTTTGTCAATCAACATCTTCAAAATCATTTGTCAAACAACATTCTTCTCATACTTACACAGTGTATTCATCCTCATTGTATGAATCCTTGTTGTCTCTCCCTGTAAACCATGTTTTAATGCTTACACGTGTAAATAAGGTTTCAACGTCTACGTACTGTTATTTAACCCTGTAAGCTACAGACCTTTGCCGAAAGTATTTATGTGTTCGAATTGACAGTACTGTCCGAAACGGCAGTGCCCTTGTTGGTAATATTTGCAAATAACCATTGTGTGACGATTTACTTGCTCAATTTTATCACGAAACTGTTATGATCATGTTTCGCGTCACTTTGGCGTTAACAACAATATCTAACAGCACTATTGTTACAGTTTATTAAAGAACGTCGTTGATTATATTCGTCTTTGTTAAACAATGCAATCGTCTCGATCAGTTTCGATCTTGTGTAGAGATTGTATACTTAGTTTGTGTTCAATGATTTGACTGTAGTGAAACAGTTCCTTTTGTCTGGTTTTGTCCCGCCACTGTGCGACTGTGCAAGTAGAGTTTCCAATTTCAGATCTTGTGAATTATCTTTCATAAAGTATAGTGTAGCTTATAAACGCCTGTTAAAGTTCACGCGTGTCGTGTGAAGAGTTTCATCTTTCGAATTTATAGTGACTGTAGTTTTCGTATTTTTGCTTGTCCGGAATTACAAATACGCGATAGAATTGAAAAGAAAGATTAATCAGTTCATTCGACTATCGGCAAGGGTGTACGAATATTCGTGCCGGGATTAATCATTGAATAATCGCGGTCCGTTACTCATTACGCACGTTACGGGAATGTGTAAAACGGCGATACTCTTACCGCAGTGTCTGTTCTAAATTTGTTCTTGCTCACCGATACGATCTCTCATCGTGAATTCGCGAGTATAGAAACGAGACAGAAAGCGGGATCGTCCTCGTTATCAGTTCGCTTCGGAACACGCCCCACGTTGTTGAAGTATCAAACCGGCTGAACGAACCCAACTCCTTTTGCTATGCACAGAACGTAATGTGTAATTTATTGTGCGTTCCCGTACCCCAATTTTCGTGAAGAGTGCGACTCGGCTTAGCGAAAACGCGACGTTAATCAAACAAACTCGACAGGAACACGAGTTTCTTCTAACCTCAAATAGAAAATGGTAAGCATTAATGAACAATCGTCGGAATATAGGTTACGATGACTTGTGTGTTGCGTACTGAAAAAATCCCTTATCATTTGGACTGGGAACAATGAATTTTTTTTAATAAATCGCGCGTCTTTTTTTCTACGTATAAAATTTATCGATACATGCAATTCTTTTTCGGCTGATTGTTCGAACTATAGATTCGCGTGTAGATCGTGAATTTTTATTAATCTGTGTTTCTTTTTCTGTTTCTTGCAGTCTGCGACGCTAAAACCTTATCTGGCAGCAGTGAGGAGGACCCTGACTGCTGCTATGTGCCTGGAGAACTTTTCCTCGCAGATAGTCGAGAAACATAATAAACCCGAGGTTGAAGTGAGAGCTAGTAAAGAGCTACTTCTAACACCGATCCTGATCAGCAGAAATGACAAAGAAAAGGTGCTCATCGAGTCTAGTATAAACAGTATGAGGATAAGCATTGCAGTGAAGCAGGCCGATGATCTGGAGAAACTTCTGTGTCACAATTTCACGAGATTCATGACAATGAGAGCAGAGCATTTCATCATCCTCAGGAGAAAGCCAATAGAGGTAATAATCCTGTGCGCATCGAGGATGAACGAATAAAGAAAATTAATACAATTAACAACCCCTTACTTGTTTTACAGGGCTATGACATTAGTTTTTTAGTTACGAACATCCACGTAGAACAAATGTACAAACACAAGATCGTTGATTTTGTAATCTATTTCATGGAGGAGATCGATAGAGAGATCAGTGAGATGAAATTATCTATGAACGCAAGGGCTCGCATTTGTGCAGAAGAATTCCTGAAAAGGGTAAGTATATATAGACTACGATAGATCACAAAGATTCTTATACCAATCATTGAAATCGTATTTGTACATTTTCTGTTCCAGTTTTAACTTTGCGAAGACGTGGTGTTAATGACATAGCAATAATCGCGACGGCCGGGTCGTTGAAAATAACGAATCAAGCCGATACAAGAAAACGCCGGCTAGTTAAAAAGATTAACCTCCTGAAACTAAGAGAGCCCTTAATCCAGACATCCCTGCTGTTCCTGATAAACTGATCCATTTGCAAATACAGTTTCCAACTAATCGCCGTTATCTCCAACCTGTGTGTATGGGTGTGTGTGTGACGAGTAACAAGTCTGACATACAATGTAAGTACCGTAACCGTATTATATATAATTTAGCACGCGCGTAATTTGTCAACTATACCCGGCAATTCTAATACATTATACCTGCGAATGTTTATTTTTCCTATAACGGGGGGGAAATCGATACGTTTTGCTGGGATCGATTCGTACCCAACGTCGTTCTAAAATTACATTTAATATTTCCCGAGGCTTGAGAGATAATCGATGATATACGATGAGATCGTGGAAATCGCTTTACAAACTTTTCACGTTCACCTCGACGAGGAACAGTCGGGTGTAGGATCGAGAGTTTTCGAGTATAGAACTTCTTTTTTCACGATCTTGTAAGCCTGTTACAAGTTTCGCAAATTAATCTGCCGACGAATGTACATTTTTACGACGTTATATATAAATATAAATATATATACACACTAACTAAGAATATATTCGCGAGGTAATTCTAGATAGGGTGCTCGAGTTCGGAGCGAGCGTTTCAAATACTTTTCACTGATCCGTGGACGATAGTATTTGATAATTTAATACCGTCGTAATGTTAACCGGTCGCTCTAGCACAAATACAGAACCGGGAGGGTACAGTACCGAACCAGGAACGTAATTGAAGGCTTGTTTTCTCGGATGTTAGGAATATTTTTTAATGGACGTGCATTGTTAGGGAACAGAGAGGAGGTGAACACTAGTAATTATAAACGCAATTGACGTCCAGCATATATCGTAACGTGTTGAACAGCTGCCAAACACTATTTAGCATTAGTGTATGCCGACAGAGGGACTGTATAATTACGATCATTTTCATTATTATAATATAGTGGTTACTTTTTATCATGACACACGTGGTGAAAATTCCTCACATATGCTATGGGGCATCGTGCGTTTATACAAAACTTCTTACCTACGTCCTTTCACGTACGAGTAGCATTTTTTTACATTTCTAATTTCCCATGAATCGATTATTGCAGTAGATAGATGATCCTGTGAATTTCATAATTTTTTAAAACCTTCGTCGTTTATATCGTTCGTGTGAGAGAATAAATTTGCTGACGCTTCGTCGATGAATCGTGGCCGTGAAATCCTATCGAAGTTCGAGTGTTTTCATGGGAGAGACTAGGAAGAGGGTGAGAGAGAGAGAGAGAGAGAGAGAGAGAGAGAGAGAGAGAGAAGGGTGCGTAAGGTGTGCAATTCCTTTTGCATTTATAAAGTTCTATTTATCTTATGAATTATTGTAACCGTATGATTTAACACTAATGTAAATACAAATAAACGAGAAGAATTCATCGTGAGGATGTAAATGTCGATCCTCCGTCTCCTGAAGATTAAGGTAATCGAGCTTAGTCCTTCAAATATTCATAGATATATTCTACGTCTATTTGTATTATCAATGTCTGAATTGTAAACTGGGGACGTTTTCCGAAGAGCGCCTTCGAGACTGCAACGCGTTTAGCAGACTCAAGTCCCCCTGAACCGTGGAATCCGTCACGTTCGTGGCGACTCCTCTTTCCACGGAGAAGGGTTCCACGACGATGCTCAGTCGTTCGCCGATACCATTCGCCAGTAGCAAATCGCGAGTTTCCCAGCCGCCAGGCAACGCGGCATACTCACGCGGTTCGATCGCAACGACAAACGCGGCGATTGTTAAACGAATTCACTGGCAGTCAAAAGTAGCATAATCGAATGTGATTTTAAGAGAAGAATCATGAAATAAAGTTCGTCGTTGGATAATGAATAATTAAAAGTAGCTAAAAGTCATAAAGGTCGAAAGATCGGAGGAACGAAGGGGAATAAAAGTCAGCTAAGTTTGCAATCGAAGCAATAGAAATTCGTCGGGAACGGGAAAAGATCGGAGAACGATCGAACGGGAGGTACAAGAGATTCTCCTGATAATTGAAGAATGAAAAAACTGATAATGGATCTCGCAGTCACCCTCGGTTAAAAGTCGGCGGAACGGTGGATCCGAGGAATCCCCCAGTTTGTGATTCGAAACTTTTAATCCGTGTCGTCTCGCGGCCAGTTACGAACTTTCGGTTACCCGCGCGGAAGGGGTGGCTTTAACGGAAGCACGTAATCTCGTTTCGCGGCGGCTGTGATTTCGAGATTACCGCTTTGAGAGGCCGCCGTTATTTTCCAAGCGACGGCGGCGGCGCGGCGGGGGCTGGAAGATTGTTGACAAACTTCCGCACCGCGGGGTGTGCAACTGTGCGGCTTTTGGTAACGCTGATCCACCCGGAAACACCCCGTTTTCCGCCAGTGATATCGCGCCGGATAGGGGAGGAAGTCGGATAGAGAGGAGACCTTCGAGGCTCACAGCGCTAATTCCTAACGAGCGCCCAAAAATACTCGCCGTGGTAAGACGCAGATAGAGGAACGGTGGCGAGGAAGAAGAGGCAGGTAGAAAACGAGTCGGATAGACAAAGGCTCATAAGCCGGCTACTCTTATTCTAATCATTGTTAAATACGATGCGCGTTTGATCTACGAGCTTTGCTTTCGATTGCCCTTTCGGAGTCCCGTAGTCTGACTAAACAGGATTATTCTACTTCGAACCGCGCTACACTTCTCTATAGGAAGTTTACGTTCGGCCGAGCTCGCTGTCAGTCAAGCTGTTCCTCTACTTCCTTCTCTCCGTATTTTCTCGATCGGTTCCCGAATTCGTCTCTTCCTGCACGTCAGCTCGCGCTCCAATTCTTCTTCTTTTAAGAGCACCGCCTCCCTCCGCGAAATCAGCTGTTCCCCTCTCTATTCGCATCCCGATTCCTCATCTCTCCTCCGCATCCGCGCTGGCTGGTCTCTCCCCACCGCGGTAGCAGCGTCCGGACGCGTCGAGGCGTCCTCGCGGCGCGTTCCCGGCGGCGAGCTTGCGCGACGCCGGCCGCTTTTTACGCCGACGCCGACGCAGCGCCGGTGGCTCGGCGTCGGCGTAGTCTGGGATCTGGCGTCTCCCGATCGGGAACGGGAAACTACTAGGGAGAGCCGAGAGAGGAGCGTCCGTGTTCTTCGGCGACGTCCTTGCCTCTTCGTGCCTCGCGGATATCGAAGGAAACAGTCAGAAGCGTCGTCGAGAAAATATCCGAAGGGAATCTCCGATCGCTGTGCCAATTTAAAAGCGAGCTCTCGGCGGAGTCGCGGGGAGAAACTTGGCTCGTTACGAAAATAATTAAAAGTGTAATAAAAAACAAAATTGCGAAAAAAATCTGTTTCGGAGGAAAGAATAGGGGAAATCGAAGAAGGAAAGGAACGGGAAAGGAGAGACGAACGGAATCGCAAGGGTTAGAGCCGGTCCGCTCTCGAAGGAAGGGAGAGAGAGATCGGCGAGAGAGAGGGAGTGACTGCAAACGGAAGGGTAGGGTGAAACGAGAAAGAGGGGAAGCTCGAGAGGGGTAAACCGAGAGAGAAACGAAGTTAAAGCGCGGAGCGTACACGGTAGATCCGACGGAGATACCAGAGAAAGAGAGAGTCGGGCCAGAAGGGTGGCAGGGTGGGGACAGAGAAAGATAGAGAGAGACAGCGAGAGATAGAGAGAGAGGGAGAGCAAGCCCCGTGTCTTGCGTGCCACGAGAGAATACAGAGAGGGCTTAAAGTCGAGAGTTAGGAGTTGTGGCTCGTGGTTAGATAGGATGCGTGTGCCTGGGTGCGGTGTTCCACCACCACCCGACGGCCGACGGTTCACCAACAACATTCAGATAAGCGACGACACTAATCGCGCCCGCGAGAACAAAATTCACCAAGCTGGCTCCCCGTTTCCCGTGAAGAGGAACGATATCAATCGCATCGCGAAGGACGACGCGACACCGCGTGATCAACCAAGAGGAACGCTTGGTGGTTGCCCGGAGCACCACGGAGCCGGTCGTCTGACACCGGACACGGCTCGACCGTCGCTACTTCCGCCGCAGCAAGAGCCCACGGAGAGATCCTCCAGCGAGTTCCTCGAATCTTGGACCAGTTCGTATCGCGCCGGTTCACGGTTCAACCCCTGGAAGAGTTCGCTGCACCCCGTCGTCGTCGGTTGGTCCAGCTGGTGCACGCTGTAGTCAACAAAGCTTCGAATCGTGCGTTTCCCGTGGTCACCGCTGATTTTCACGTGGAAACCTGGACACTGTGTTCCTCCGACCGCGTCTTCGTTATTCACAACTTCGGTCCAGATCAAATATTTTTCGTGAACGTGTAATCCGCAGCCTCGACCGACGCGGAAACCGAGAGACCTCGCAGCGAATTTTGAAAGTTCTCCATTGGCGACGAATCACGTTTCGACTCGTTGAAGAGGATTTTTGTATACACGATCGAGGAAACGGCGTAAGCTGGTCCAGACCACGTATTTTCCGTGGGAGGGCAACTGGAGCACCGTCCCACGGCGGCGATCGTCGGCGTCGCGCGGCGTCGGGACGACGCTACTCGCAGGCACAGGCTCGCCGGAGGAGCGGGCTGCGAGCCGGCTTCAGCCTGTACCACCGCAGCCGACATCCCAGCTACTCATGTTCATCCCGGACACACTGAGGAGCTGCATGGTGGAACCGGATGTCTCGACTTATCTGCAGGCCCCTTCCGTAGGACAGGTGCCTCTCACAATTTTGTTACTTAAACCGTTCTCTCGACAAACAGTGCAGAAGTTCAAACGGTAGAATTGCTCGATTAAAGTTACTCGACAGTTCTCGCTTGGCTTGTTTGTGCTTTCAACTTATTGATACGTAATCGCTTAAGAGTCGTGCTTGCTTGTGCCATGCCGATGTTTCTACCTGAGACGTTCACTGTGTATTTCTTGTGAAACATTCCCTCTATTATCGTTGAATATTACGAGGTTTCTTATTCTTTCGTTCTGTATTTGGGGTTGGAGAGGGTTGGAAAATAGAAGAGCACGTGCGGTTCGCGTGCTCCTCTGTTGACTACTTCTCTGCGACGTAAACACGACTGCCTAAAATCACAGTAATGCATACTTTCCAAAAGTAGTTACTAATTTTTTAAAGCTTGAAATTAAAATGAATAGCGAACAGTACTGATTTATCTGTCCCTCGGTTGGCGCGCGGATTCCGGATCGCGTCTGTCATAATTCCGACGATCGTCAGCTGATTTTCAGCAACGCGGATAGACGAGTTTCGTTTCTCGTAGCTCGCGAACCGCCTAGTAATTATGTAAGGAAACGCCTATTTATATCCGATAATCACGGTTCTTACGTAACGCGCGACCGCGGTACGCCGCGTCACATGCTCCCCTGACCGCCGCGATTTTTTATATTTAGATTGCAATTGCTTTTATGCGTTTACGTTCCGGTCGTCGCAGTTATCTATATCCGTTGCCCTTCGCGTTTCGTCTCGTTCTCATAACGAGTGGCTGGGGTCGTAGGAATTCTGTGAGAAACCTATTTGCAAGTACTGTCAGAAATAATTCAACAGTGCAGTCTGCAAATTGTTAACGCTCTTCGCTGGGGAAAATTTGGTAGACAGAAGTTTCGAGAACAGTTTCGGGGGCGACAATCGGAATCTCGTAGCCCACTTAGGCGGCAAAATATCTCGTGGATACAGTCGGGTAGAGGGTTCGTTGTCCGCGTCGCTCGTCTCCAGCAAACTTAGAACAGTCATTAGCACGGCGAACGCGATATTTACTTTGCGGCTGCCGTTACCCTTTGCTTCTATAAGGAAATTGCCCCTTGTCATAATGTAACTTAGCTCTTATATAGAATCCAATATCTACAACGTGTTATCTCGTTACAGTTTTAATTGTTTCGTGATTGTATCCTCAGCATAATGAATCAGTCAAATATTCTACAAAAGTTCGTTGCTGTATAAAACTGGATATAGAAAATGTAGTAGATATTAAATAATAGTTATTTAATATTAAACTTAATAGTATTTAGCTCTTAGTTTGATTAGGATTAAAATTAACTACTTCTTGCACCTGCAGCTTCGCCGAAAAATGTTTTTCTATCGGACGACAAAGATTTTCTCAGTCAGAGGGTTGTCCCCTTTCCGTTTAAATACCGGTTCGCGGTATCTCGGTGGAAGATCGGTTGCAAGCGGCATGGCAGCCTCATCTCTGGTATCGGGAATCGCGAACGCGAGCCAGAGTCCATGCATAACGCGTGTTCCTCTTATCTGGCTGGAAGAAGTCAGTGTCTATCTCGGTAGCCGGCGAGGAGTTTGGCTATCGATCGCCAACCTCCGCTCGTCTTTTTCCTCTCGAGCTCCACTTCTTTCTCTGCCTCTTCTTCTTCTTCTTCTTCTTCTTCTTCTTCTTCTTCTTCTTCTTCTTCTTCTTCTTCTTCTTCTTCTTCTTCTTCTTCTTCTTCTTCTTCTTCTTCTTCTTCTTCTTCTTCTTCTTCTTCTTCTCGCCTTCTCTTCCCTCGGGTTACAAGCCACGCGGACCGGCGACGGCGACAACACGCCGCTACCACCGTATGCCGACGTCCGTCCTTTCCTTCGTTTCTTACTGCGGACCTTTTCACCCCTTCCCTCCAGGACTCGTGTTCTCGTGTTTCAAGGGGATGCTCCTCCACGCTGGGCTTTTGAATCGTTTAACCCTCCAAGTGAAAGAACTGTTATTAATTGTCGCTGTCTTTTCGTTTTCTGTCAGTTTCATGTACCCCGCAATTTTTTGCACTCGATCCTTGCACTGGTAACGTGTATCGTAAAAAGAAGCTTTCTAATCGATGGGATTTAATCCTACGAAAGTCGAACTGTTTCTCTTGAATGATCGCCAGTAACTCGTTCAGGCATCTAAGGGTTAATCTTGGACGATGTCGAGACCGTGGAATTTGCGTTAGGGTATGAAAAGTTTTTGGGGTAGGTTCGGGGGATGCTACCAACGAGTTTACGTGAGTCAGTCGTTTCATAACTTGAAGTATAAAAATGAACCAGTTCTTGCAAATTACTAATACCTTTTATACATTATGTATACAAGATATAATATTCTTTGTTTAATCCTCACAATCAGTCTTGATTTGTCTATTTAATACGAGCTTCAAGAGGATTCAGTAAAAATCTTGATCAGAAATCTAAAATTGAAAGAATCTTTCGCCTGATTGTATTACATGAATTGAAGTTGTACAAAAGTTTGTTAGCGGATTTTCGCGAATCGGTTCGGTGGACTCGCAGCTATTTTTGGCGCTGCCGAAAAATCAGTTCCATTGTTTTTTCTCGGGTTTATTGACGCGGAAAGCGGCGGCTAGGACAGGAACCTCCGCGGGGAATTGGAACGTGGCAAGAATCAATTTTGCCCGGCCTTCTTCGTCGAGTTTCGCGCAATTTGCCGATCGTCCCGCGGGACTATCCTTGTTAGGCACCTGCGCCCGCTGTCGCAGTGTAAATTTTACCCGAATAGCGAACACTGTCAATTTCGACGCTCTTCTTCTTGTATCCGATGAAATCAATTTCTGAAGTGCTTGTCGAAGTTACGTGTTCACTGTTTTATTGATATTGGAGAACTAAAACTTCAGGAATCCTTCGTTGGAAATTCTTTCACCAATTTCCTCGATCCGAGTTTAAAGAGTAGTTGATTACTAAAAAAAAAAAAGGCGTCATGAATTCTGCAAAATGTCTTAGGCGAAACGAAACAGAGCATCCGTTAATAATTTATTAGAAAACAAGAAGAGCAGTCGCGAAAGAGCGCGAGTACCGTCGGAGTACGGTCTTCCTCGCGACGCTCGGCGTCGCAGGGAGGGCGAAACTCGGCCGTGTTGGTAGGGGAAGCTCCTCAGGGGAAGCGCGATAAAACGGCGCGAGGGGAAGCGGAACGGCGGGCGGTGGGCGTGCGACGGTAGGGGAAGTTGTGTAGGTTCGAGGGCAAATCTAGTAAGCTAGGACAGAGGCTATTAATAACTGTTTGGGGTGCCGTACCTGGCCGGCGCGCGGTGCGCGTCTAGATACGCGCGTCTCGGCGACCGGCGTCTCAGTGTCGTCGCGACGACCGACGTCGTACCCGTCCGTCGTTCCGGCGTTGACGTTGCTTAAGTCTCTTTCTCTCTCTCTCTCTCTCTTTCTCAATCCCGTTTTCCTTACTCGTTTTTACTCGGTCCCCGCTGCAACTCCTCTTCCGCTTTCCGCGTGGATCAGTCCGACTCTCGGCTCGGTATACGGTGGAGGATCGCGCGTCGCGTCGTGCTGCGGATCCCGACTCGCGGGTACAGTGAAGAGTTTTGGCAGGCCACCAGAGTGGATCAGTGTCGTCCGGGCGATCGAAAACGATCAGATCCGGTGGTGATAGAAGCGCGATTTTGTGACCGAGCAGAGAGACTCGTCGGCTACGCCTCTAGCGAATCAGCTGACCGCGTGGACCGCTGGAACCCGATTGTAGTTCTTCGTTATTTATACCCCGTGTTACTTCGATTTTTTTTCCTCGCGATTCTTACAGTAAGTACTCGGGGGATCAACCGGTGCTTCGTAGCTTTTACCGAAATTCATTCTTCTTGGTTCGTCGCGTAGGCTCATCGAAATTCGATCGTGGCTCGCGATAACGATTTTAATAAACGAAATGAATTTCACTTGTCAATTCCGATTCGATAGTGCCTGATCGAATCGGGTCGCAGGCGTGATAATATAATAATTAATTCGTCGTACACTCTTGCAAGTACGTCGCGATCGCAGTTATTATTAGCATCTATTGTTGAGAATATATCTTAATTTACACTCGGTTATAATTTGTAATCTCAGTTTATGGAGTCAGATTTACTTCGATTTTGTAGTTTTAATGTATCATTATGTTTAGGTGAACTCGTTGCCAATAGAAGTTTCCCGCGACACGTGTCCCAGCGGCTCATTTACAGATCCGACCACCGGTAGTAAATGCTTATTAAAAATGATCCTGCATATCATGACTATAAAACCAATTATTAAATCAGGTATACTTAAAAATTACTGAATTATTCCATCATTACATAATAAAGATTCATGGTATGACTAATTAATAGACTGCGGATCTTTATGAAGAATAAATCATTAGTGATGTCCATGTTGGAAATAGAATCTGAATAGGAATTCCTTTTTTATTTCAATAATTATAATATGCATTTTATTTTTTATATTTTCTGTACATATGATTTTTTTATAAATGTATAAAATTCGTAGTTTGTTAATTACAATATTTAATATATAATTTTTAAATAATTAATAGTATAATCTCATTGTTCAATAATTATGTGCAATCAAGTAGGCATGTAAATGAACATAATTTTTATCTCTATGAACTGTTTGTTGTTACAAGTTGAAATATAAACTTCGATGTATTGACATGATGTTTGATTTAATTTTTGTTGTATTTCAAAAATCATTTTGCATTTCACATTCGATATTTTCTGTGTCCTTGGACATTGAATGAAGTTTTTGTATTTTCTGTATTTACTATTTCTTTATAAATGCATAAAATCCGTAGTTTATTAATTACAATGTTAAATGTATATACTCTTTGTCGAATCTTAACATAGTTCAATAGTTATACGCAATCAAGTAGACATATAAATGAACTGACATAATTTCCGCATCTATAAACTTCTGTATATTGTTACAAGCTGAAATATTGCATAAACTCCGACGCGTTTACATAATGTTTCCGATTGGTTTTACGATTATGAAACGCAGGATGTACTTGACACGTAGGGGGAAAAGTTGGTGACGGTTCATCAACCCCTAAGAGACCCGGGCGAACGTGGTGTCCCCTTCGCCCGCGTCCTTGCCCTCCCCTGGTCTTTTCCGCGATGACGACGCGCGCTGCTCGGCCTCACCTCCTTAACGTGTTTGATTTTTCGTTCGCGTCCGAAAATAACGGCGTGCGTCGTATAGATAGAATGCGCGCGCGAGTAAGTTAACGCGAGCGAGCGCGAACGGTTGACAAAGCGAACGGGTCGGGGAACGAGCTTAGAGAAAATTTTCTCTCTTCCTCGAACCGTGGCATGCGTCGTTCGTTTTCGCGGAAACATCGCCGCGAAACTCTGACTCCACTCCGTCCAAACTGGGTCGCCGAGTTGGAGAATCTGCAGGATTTTTCGTCCTCGTCGAAAATAAGTTTCGTACGACGTTTCAGAGACGTGTTTACGACAAAGGAGTGCGCGTTGAATAATTTGTACCACGAGCCACGGTCGAATTTCGTCGAGCGTGCGGCGAACGAAAATTGAAACTCCGACGATGATCACCGAGAAAACCTGTGATCCGTTTCCCGCAGTTCTCCGGAAACCCATCAGCGTAAGATCGAAGCTTCGCCAGACACCGTCTCCCCGAGGAAGCCAATAAATCCTCGAGAAGAGAAGAACGCGGCTGGGAGAGAAAAAGGAGGAAACCCCTTTGGCCTCTCTTTGGTCGTTCGAGCATGCTAAACGAGACGCGACCAGGAAGAGAACCGGCGGGCCACGACTAGGATAGATACAAAGAAAAATTGAAAGATTTAAATCGACCTTAAGGTCGATCGGTTCGTTGGTCTCGGAAAGCGTGCTCGCGGCAGAGGAAAAATAAAAGAGTGAAGGGAAGGAACGGAAGAAGAAGAAGAAGAAGTAGAAGAAGAAGCAGAAGAGGAAGAAGGGCGCAGAGTGGTGCAGATGAGGCCACGATCAATCTGCGACAGGGTGGCGGAGGAGTACTGCGAGCCTGACGGTTGTTACTGCGAGAATCGGTGCTTCTGACAGCCAAGGGACAGACAGACGGTAGTGTGCCACAGCAGCCGCAGTGCTTGCGAATACTCGATGGTTCGTGTCGTTTGAAACGCTTGTTGTTCACTGTGGCTAGCCTCGTGTTCTATTCCATTTCCCTCCTATCCTCCCTACCTCTCTCTCTGCCTTGCAACCCCTAAGCTCCTTACACTCTTCGTGTACCGTTGTTCCGGTCCCTGCGGTTTCGCGGTCCGTTATCGGTGTCAGAAGGATGTTAACCCTGCGACGACACCGACTCGCGAAATAGAAATTGAACCCTTTCAAGATCCAGGGAGATTCTTAAGAAAAATGAAGCTGTCGAGTAACGACAGCCATCCTATACCCATTTTTCACAATCATCCGAACAAACGAGCGTTAGCATTTTTCAACAGTAGCAACTCACATACATAATCTTGCTATATTTGTTACTTAACGACCTCACGTTCATCTTGAAGAAATTCTTTTAACACGAATATCGTTCGTTGCAATAAAATTCCTTCGAACAGAGATTTCTGAAGGATACGAGATGAGATTGCACGTACGCGTGATATTGTTCCACCGATGAATATTCCATCGCGGAGCGGGCGGGGTGTGGGAAGTGGCGGGTGTGTGGTTTTCATCTCGGCTGAAAATTCATCCCCGTAGAAACGATGTTTACATCCCCTTGGAGCGTGAATCGCGGGGAGATCGCATTTGCTTCACAAAGGAAAGCTATTCCGTGGCGATCCGTTCGAACGGCGTCGATCCACCGAAACCAATAATCGATCTCTTCCCGTTTTCTGCTCGGTTTTTCAACCGGAAACGGCGAGACCGGAACCACGGCTCGTTTCGTTTCCGGAACAGCTCGAACTTCGTACGCGATAAGCGATCCAGCTCCGTCTTTTGTTGAAGCCAGAATCGTCAGGGGAACAGACACATTTTTCTAAATATCTCAATTAAAAATTTCATTTATTATCGCGTGCATGGAAGACGGAGTTGATTTGCATGAAAGCTGGTCTTAACTCTCTTATCGTGGCAAATTAGACAAATTATAAACCAAATATCTAGAATTCCTGTAATTAGCCAATAACTATAGTTTGAAAAGATTTATTTAAACGCGCTAGGAATTTAACACACGATGTACTCTTCGATTTAAACAAATAGTTTTGTAACAATATTGCAATAGGTTGGATGCTCAGATTAACCGAGGACTGTTCTGTTCGCAGGATGAGTTCCATCCATTCATTGAGGCCCTCCTACCATTCGTGAAGTCTTTCTCGTACACGTGGTTCAACCTACAAGCCGCCAAGAGGCGTTACTACAAGAAGCACGAGAAACGGATGAGTCTCGAAGAGGAACGTCAGTGCAAGGAGGAGCTCCAGGTAAGTGATCCACACTTCTTTCTCAACTTTCGTTGATATCGTGCGATCTACAAGCACTGCATTTCACAACTTATTCATTCTGGTCCATTTCCCTATCAAACTGTGAACTAATCTCTGTAGAAAACAAATGTTTCTCCTCTCTGCTTAGGAAAAAAAAAAAAAAATGCACTTTACACGCTTGATGAATCGCGTGCGCGTAACGAAACGGGCTTGTCAGTCCGACGGTACAGGTCGTAAAATATGTAAAACTCGGGACTTATCGGAGAATTTCGAGGTGTCAAACTGGAAACAGATTTTAGAGCCAGTTCGTTTTCCAACAACCGATGCAAATTTCACCGTTTAAATCCGCCAGTTACCAGCGAGCGGGGGTTACCGGCGGTGTACGGGGGGGTTACATGCATGATAACGAATCGATATTTGCCAATGTAGAAACGCGATAAAAGTTTTGCGGGGGCCACGGTTTCGCGTTGCGTCGGCGGGACGAGGTTGTCAGCGAGCGCGATTTGCACGAAACCCGGGCACGGAACGGAGCCGTTCCTCCGAGGTGTTCGCTGTCCGCTAATTTCATGGTTAAGAATAAAAATAATGAGGTTTCGGCCTATTTCTGGCGCAGAAGCGTCCTCGTGACGCGCGCTCTATCGCTCAGCCTCAAACGCCCCAGTAGCTCTCAATCGTTACCAGTTTTCACCGCGCCCGCGTCTATACACAAGTTTTTATTAATAGAACTATTTAGTACTGAACTGGGAACATTAACGAGCCGGCGTATCGGAGAGACGTTTCCCGTTCTTGTTTCATTTGTCGTGGCTCGTAGAATCCTCCTTGGAACTCCGAGCGTGGACGCGTCTCAACATATTTTTATACATGAAACATGACGTTATGATTCATCGTCCTCTCATACGATTCTTCATTTGCATATTACGTTTATTACAATTTTTCTAATATTAATTGATTCTAATCTAAATTGATGTATGGATCGGAACACGTATCTAGCCAGATTTCTGCAACGTACGTTAAAAAGGAACGCGTAATCGCAGAACTGCTCCGTCTAACGGAAGTTCAATTAAGAGGGCACGGGTGAAATAAATAAAAAAAAGGAAACATAGGAAAAGAGGAAAAAAGCGGGAAGGGAAGTCGGTGAACTCTCTGGGTATCGAGCGAGGTTTGGGGCGTCGCGTCGGCTCTCGGTTCGACGAGTCATTGACATTCGAATTTTCGGCCGGACCGCAATCTTTTCCCTTGGTCCTTTTTTTTTTTACCTCTCTCGGCGGCCTTCGCTACCGAACCGAACCCCCTAACGTCCGTCGGCCTTCTCTGTCCCTCTTTCCCTTTGGTCTATCCGCCACCGCAATTCGTATTCTACCACCGCGACGCCGGCGTTCGATCAATATTTTAATTTCGCGATGCTGCGGTATTTAGCGGGACGAACAGGCGGGACCCGATACTCGGTTGAAAGAAACGTACCTATCGATGGGTCGCGGCAGTTTAGAGAAAATCGTCGGCCAACGAAGATTTTTTTTCCGTCTCCGTTTCACTTCTGTTGTTCCCTCCACTCGGCGGTCATCGATGGCCGATAAAACGGCGGTGCTAATCGAGGAAAAACGTCGACCGCGCGCTTGCGGGATCCTTTATCAACCTCGGGTCTTCCGGTTTTCTTGATTGCCTCCGATCAGCAGATAGATCCTCTCGTCGGATTAATCCAATAAAGGAGAAACTTATACTTGCGTTAAATGAAATTGTATTATTAAAAGACGCAGTTAATTCTAAAAATATAAGTTCTCTAGTAATTTTGAAGAAGCCTCGAAAACTTGGATGGAACTAGGAAAATTGTTAAGGGAAGTTAATGGAAAGCTTGGAAGCAAGCGGGAACGGCTGGACAAACTTTAATTGAATAAGAAGAAGAATTGTTGACGCAGGATAATGGAAAAGCTGTTGGATCGTCCGCGAGTAGAATCGGACGATCGTGGCTGGGCAGGGTCGGTCACAATTTCATAAAGTCCCCGTCTATGTAATAGCGGAGGGCTCGGCCGAGCCTGCAGGGCTTCGTGCGACGCAGATTAAACGTACTTCATGTAAAATTCAACGCGAACCCCGCACGCGCCTCCGACGCAGCGAGACACTTTCGTTTTTAAAAACTCGCTCGGGAAAATTCTGTCCCATCGCGTTTCCATTAGCCCTGCCCGTGACTCGTTTTCAATGCTAGAAATTACACTGTCAAATCATTTCGTTCTCCACATCTCTTTTTTAAAGTTCTCTTATAAATAATGGAAGACACTATTTAAGACCACTTTGTGTTTGATCGACATTTTTCTCGTTTATATTATTTAATAAGTTCAGGCATTTCATTCTCAGCTTGTTCAAATATTTACTCGATTTATTACATTCTATTTATGCGATTATCTGATAGAAAAGTCCGTGGAATTCGTACGTCGAAAACTGTTTCCCGTGGGACGTGTTTGGAAAATAGAAAAAGCGGAGAGATTTTCCAAGCGGTGGATCGCGCGTGTATAGTTTTTCCGGGCAAACGGATCGATCACGGTTATCGGGCGACGAGGCGCGTGTTAGGCGCGCGGGCACCTGTCGACCTGAAATTTTCGAGCCGCTTTCTCGCCGCTTCGACACGCCGTACACGTACGCAGATGCTCTTTCCAGAAAGAGGCACGAACAAAAACGGGCAAAAGAAAATAAAGGAAGAAGCGATACACATTTCATGGCGTTTCGCGGATAAAAAAGCGACGACGCGAAGCTCGTTGACATGCGGTGCTCGTGCCGCGGAAAATTGGAATGGACGTTTCGAGAGAAGAGTAGAGGAGAGGTCGCCGCTATTTTCTAATCGCGATCTCTGTAAACCCGGACACTTTCTCTCTTTCCATTGCATTCGGTATACTAATGCCGCATATCGTGTCTATTGAATCAGATATCTTTAAATCAATACGTAGACTGCGGATTTTTATACGAATTAAGGGGCCTTACCAGTTTAGCGGTAAAAAATGTAGGACATTTTTGGGAATTTTTATTTAAAAAAAGTATTCTATGGAA